AGTGTCAGGGACCATAGGCCAAATACACCAGAATAGCAGAGTTATTCTCAATGAGAAACTATTGAGGAAAAAGCTGTATCTAATACTTCCATAAACAATGTGGTCCAGATTAAAGCATTCTTAGTTTCTCATCAATATGCAAGGAATCTATGGTTCTCAAGATCAACAACCTTCTAATATCTGACATTATGTTACCACAATGTTGCAAATAGGTTCCATTTCTGTGTTGGAGACATAGTCTATGCCATCCGGCCATCCCCTTGCCTTATCTGGCCAATTGTCTGTTATGAATTTCTTCCACTGAACTGGTCCTGTGGTAGACACTTTTTTTAAAGATGGTTTTTTTATCAATAACACAATTCATTAAATAATCTCAATAATAATTGAGGGGACTCAGAGGTGATGGTAGGATGGCTGATTAAAGATGGATGTAATATACTCAATATCAATAACATCCAATGTTGTCAACAATAAAACCACACCTATACCTCCTTTTGAGGGATGGGAAACACAGTTTTTCTATTTAGCTTCACGCTTTCATCTATATATTAAGAAGATACCCCACTTATCACATACAGAAGATCTATTACTAGCAGACATCCTATTGTTTCTTATCTACTATTAATACCATGTGCAATGCATGTGCCTTCCTCACCTGTGTACAACAAATAATATCCTTTAGCTTTTTCACTTCCCAGGATCCTGAAACTTTGAAGAACCACTATATTCTAAAGCCCTAGAAACTGAAAGAGAATACACCTTGGAATGATAATCTTTTCATGAGCTTGGAACTGGACTTAGAATATGAATGATACACCATTCCTAAGACAGCTCACAACTAGAATTGCCCCATTGCATACGAAATTATGAAACATCCATCAGAGGCCACTGCTCTTTTCTGATCTGTATTATCACGATCCATCAGAGGCCACTACTTGAAACTATGAAAGATCTAGCAGCCTTTAGAGAGGTTGCAACCTCACTTGCCCCACTGCATGTGAAGCACTAATTTGAGACCAAAGCTCTATGGTAGAGAACTCCAAAATCCAAACACACAGTCATATTGTATCACCATTCCCAAAGGCCTCATTAAAAAAAATCTCCTACCATAATTATTTAAAAAAATGTTATTTCATACCTCATTTTCTCCACAAAAAAAGTTTAAAAAAAAATGAGGTATAGACTTCTAGCCTCAACCATGGTTTTAAAAACCAACCCAGAAACAGAACTGCTTTGACCACCGGTTCCTAGGTCAAATGGTCCGATTGTCCAATCCAAACCCCAGTCAGTAGGTTTTGGGGTCCAAAACTGGACCCGGAGCCATGACCAGTCTGGTTTTTCAAATCATGGCCTCAACTTACTTATTTTGATCAATTTCCAGCTTAAAGTTATCAACAATTTCCTTCCCCTCTTCATGCAAAGTTTCTAGCTTTACCTTGCATATCGCAATCAGGTCGTCAAGTGTATTATTTATCAACTTGAGAGCCACTCGAACTTTCTTTTGACGTGGTGACAAATCCTTCCATATAGGGATATCCCAGAATGGAATAGGTGAAACACTGCGGTCTTCTGCTTCTCGCAAGACCGTATAGACAGCCTGGACATGCCAATTGCATGTATGAAGTTCAGTATAGCAATCAAGGGAAGAAAATGAAAAATAATTGAAGCAAATAGAAAGTTCAGAGTTCAAACTGAAAGAAAAGAAAGAAGGAAAATGTAAACGTTATAAAAGGGCATCACCCACTAAACAGGAAAATTGAAAAATGAATCAACAAAGTACCTCAACTATTCCAGTATCATTTGTTAAAGAATCAAAATCATAATTAAAGACAGCCTTGCCAATTATGTCCAATGTCAGCCGTGAAAAAAGTGACTCCATCTCTACATCCTCCCCATCAGATGCAGCAGCATCTAGCTTCTTGCAAAGCCTATCTGCAGCTTGTCCAAAGAGGCTGATCATAGCTGCTACATACTACAAATCAAAAATCAAAGTACATAAACTAAAAGCACATAATCATTTGAACAGGTCAACAAAAAGTGACTCCAATCCAAGCTAAATTCTACTTTGCAGAAGAGGATAGAATCCTCAAGGCCATTGAATTACCTTCTGATGTAATGCAGGGATAATAGCCCGCCGTCTAACACGCCAAATCTCCCCATCGGCTGGAATCAGTCCCTTCCCCATGACAAAATCTAAAATTTCTGCCAAGATACCCTATATATCAAGAGGTTTGATGAAATTATGCCACAACGTAAAAGCAAATTCACTCTATCAATAAAAGAAAACGGTAGCAAATTCATTGTCTACCTTTGAGTAAGCCTTAGAGTTGTCCCTCAGTATATGCTTTGCTATAGAAGGATCAGAAACTATCAAAAAGGACTGAAAAAAAAAAAAATGATCACTGATCGATCAATGACGCATGGAGACCTTAGCAAACAAGACTTTATGATTTGACTTCTCTTTCAACAAAAGCGGGAATGAAAGTATGAAAAAGCCAAACCTTAGGACCAAATGTCAACCTGAATATTCCACCATAAGTGAGGTAAAGCTCATACAAGGGGATGAAAAAGGCCTGACCCCGTATGGCCTTGATAGCTCCTTTGGCCTCTGGAATCTTCGGATTCTCTTCAGGGTCATCGGTCCACTTCGATAAGAAACCAAGAAATTCCCGCGGAACGCCCAATTTCGACAGACCATTCCTCAACAGGGACAGAAAACTTTGCCCAAAATCAAATAGAAATGGAATAAATAAAGAGGGAAAACAAAGTTTCATCGATATTAAAAAAAAAAGCGCGAGAAAGTGAATGCTAAACTACAAAACAGCATAAATAAGAATACCCAAATGGTGTTATACTTATTAAATCGAAATTACAGAAAGAAAAGTCATGGGTGTGCTACTAGCCTACTATATGCAGGTTCTGTTCTTAATCAAGCATACCCAGATTTCTGTACTGTGAATTCACCGGAAGCAATTCGGGCATACAAATCTGCCCGCTTCTTCTCCTCGAGAAGCCGCTCAACGCTCTTGACTCCATCGCCACCTGAATTAGGTTTCCGCCCATTTGAAGAGGAGCAAGTAATGGTGGAGTAGCAAGAGGTCCCTGCAACAGGCACTATCCATATAAAAACGAGGAAAGACGTATTAAATTCTAAGATCCAAGTAACAGAGCAAGAAGGAAAGTTCATGATACCATTCAGTCTGGTAGGATAAGTTGAGGTGGTTGTGGTGGGTCTCAATCTTTTTGCGTGCAATTTGGTTTGAAAAGATTTTGTCGGGACAGATGCAACTTGCAGTAGCGAAAGGTTGGCAGCCATGAAGGCTTCAGTGAAGAAGACTAACAGAGAAGAGTTTCAGGAACGATTTGTTTTCGTCAAAGATGAGTTGAGTTGCAGCGGAAATGGATCCATGAACATTAAGAAGTCGAGGGAGAATGAGACAGTGAGTGGAATTCAAGATGATAAAGCGCTCAAACTGTGGGCAACCTTGGGCCAGTGGCGCTAAAAAACGAGACCGGATCTGCTCTTTACACCTCGCGCCTCACACGCACATACTGGAGCATCTCCCGAATTTATTAGTTATTATTCACGGGAGATGTTTTTCAATGCACGGTGGACGTGTATCTGAGGCGCCCACTTGTGAGCAGCAGATCCCACTTCTTAAAAAAACAGAGCTTGAAAGGTTGGAAAGGAATTCAAATAAGCACCCCACAACGTCCCATAGCACATTCTCATTGAAAACATCTCCCGATCATCATCATTTTTGAAATATCATCAAGAGATATTCTCAATACACGCGGAGATATGCTGTAAGACGTTGTTGGGGACAATCTTGTGGGGCTGATTTGATCTCGTTGTTAAGAAGATGGAATCTGGATTCTGAATTGTCAGACCAGGCCGAAGGAAGAGTCAGATATTCGTCCAACGATATAGTGCATCACAGAGATATTAAAACCAATGTAGTCTCACTGTGCAGTATGATATGGCCCACCATTATATTCATGTGGGCCTTTGGATTAGAAGATCATCTACAATATAGAATTGTCAGAACTCTGAACTCTGTATCATGGGCTATGTATTCTGCACATGTTTTCATAGTGAGAAGAAGAGAGTAACTAGTGATTGTGCTAAATGGGTGTAGGTGGGGCTGCAAACGGATCCAATCGAATCGCATATGGGTTTTATTCAAATTTGATTTCGTTTATATTGGGTTCGAATCGGATCATGTCCATCGAATATCTAGCGGGTTTAAATCGAACTCGGATTATAATTGGAATATTGGATATTAAATAGTATAAATATATAATACTAAATATGATCAAAATATTGAATATTATTAATAAAAGGAACTAAAAATGGCTTTAATACTATATTTTATGAACGAAATGAATTGAAAATTGTATTAAACTTGAACATGTGACAATTTATTGAAAATACAACTTTAGGCCAAACTTTAATAATAGATAAAATGTAAATTTTAAGCATATATAAACATCTTATATATATATATAGATATATAGGATAGGGGTGGATTCCCATGTGAAAGCAACCCATTTCCTATATAATTAGATATATATAGTTATCTAATTATATAAATATTGTTAGATATATAATTATATAAATATTGTTAGATAATTAGATATATATAATTATCTAACTATATAAATATATAATAGTTATTATAAATCTTGTTAATAACTAGCTATTGAACCGTTCGAACGGTTTTGACTGTTTTTTATTTTTTGTCGGAATGGGCCAACCGTTTGGTTCGAATAGTCAGACCATTCAACCCGATAACCGGACCCCTGACTGGTTTGGTCTCCAGGTCCGTTTTAAAAACCAAGATGTTATGTCATTCGAGCATGTGACTCATACGACCTGAAAATGGAACCGTTCTAGCCACTGGTTTCTGGATGATCGATTCAACCGTCCAGTTCGAATGAATGGCCCGTTTTAACAATAAATTTAAAAAAAAATAAAAAAAAATGGCCAAAAACTATTGAACTGGTCAACAGGTTGATGGTTCGACCACTCAGGTCAATGGGTCGTTGACCGATTCAATAATTTTTGGCCAGGGACCGGGATTGGGGTAAAACGGAACTGGTTGCCTGAACGGTTCCCAACTAAAAAAAAAAACGGATGACCCATTCTGATAACAAAAATTACAAGCAAAAAATTGAGTGCGTGAGGTCTATTAAGCAGTATCATACGTGATATGTCATTCAAATGTGTGACTGATACAACCTGAAAACGGAACCGTTCTAGCCACCAGTTTTCGAGTCGATAGTTTGATTGTTCAATTCGAACAGATGGTTCATTCTGACAACAAAAATTAAAAAATAAAAAAACAAACAAAACCCATTGAACAGGTCAATGGGTCATTAACCGATTTTTTGGCTAGGTACTGAGATTAGGATAAAACGGAACCGGTTGCCTAGATGGTTCCCAATTTAAAAAAAAAATGGCCAAAAAACCATTAAATGGGTTGATGGTTCGACTGTTCGAGTCAATGGGTCACTGACTGATTCAACTATTTTAGCCAGGGACCAGGTCAACGGGTTGATAATTCCATTCCAACCCCCACAAAGCAGGGCCCCTCCGCTAGTATATATTTAAATCGAATTGAATCTGACTATATGGGATTAGATAAGGGAAGATCCATATTCAATCCATCTATAAATGAATGAAATTTGGATAAGCCTTAATAGGATTGAATTCGAATTTTAATTAGATACCCTATGCAGCCCTAGGTGACAATGGAGGAAGGGTTGTTTCAGTTTTGAACTCAAATCTCCTACCCACAAACTTTTCCCACATCCCTATGTACCAACACTACAAGCACTCTTAGGAATATCTCCATTGTCATTGATGGGGAGTGGGAACTGTGAAGAGTTTGTGAGTAGGAGATTTGGAGTGATCAAGAACTCCAATCCCCTACCCCTATACTATTGAATTCCAACACTTTGCCCCTAATTATCATAATTAGGATTAAAAGACAAACATGTACTGAGTTTTGCAGTTAAACTTAAATATACCTTCTCACCATTAGTTTTGGAGTTTGACTATATAATATTAAAAAGACATGACACCACAAAAACTTATTATGACCAATCAACTGGTATCATAAAAAAGACAACCAATCAGGTGGGATTTATCAAAATTCATAGGGTTTGATTGGACAAAACCCTTCCAATATCATGCCTTCCTAATAGGATAGTTTTTTTTTTTTTACAGTTGAACAAAAAATACAATTTTGCCCTTTGTTTAGATGTGAAACGGTTACCCCATGACACTATTGTCATCTTTCACCTTGAAATCCTGTCCTTGTAGACCCTATGAAATCATGGATTTATGTACAAATTGGAGACTAGTTCAAAAGGTCTATTCATTTTTGGATTTTGGAATGAGGAAGGTCCAATGGGATTTTAGTTTTATTGACTGAGATACTTATGTTCCTTTTTCATATTTATGCGGGGTCCATGGAAAAGTCTTTTTTCTTGGATATTAGTGGGTAAATAACTTTTCCACCCATGGGGAAGTTGTCAACACTTAGATGGGACAAAATTGCCCCTTATAATAATGGCTTTTTTATGGCTTAAATGATCATTGTTGTATTTATCTGAAAAATAAAATGAACATGGATAAATTGAAGGTATGGAAGATTCATCATATGGATGGCTGAACCTTGCAAGAAGGATTGGCGAAATTTCAAAAATTTCTTTACTCCTATCCGGGAATCCTATTCCCAATTTAGAAAACTACATTTTCAAGGTTCGTTCTTGTAACCAAACTAAGCCAAATTTGAAACCAAAATAAGGGAGGGATATACCTGATACGGAATCCACACAAGAATGCTCCTCCTAATGTAGATGTTCACGCCCAAAGAGAGTACCAAATCCTCCCTCCACTAAAGATGACACAACTTAGAGTGAGGCAAGATCGGTAGGTAGTTCTTCACCAAGAACTAGTAATTCTTCAGCAAGAATCGAATGGAACAGTGAGCACAACTTCTAAATTGTTTCTTCTGGCAAGAAACAATATCAAGATTAAATCTTGATCCAATCTAAGAACTGGAGATCAAACAGGGTGGGGCGGTAAGAGCAAGAAGAAAAAGAGCAGAAGGCAAAAGTAGTCTAACTGTGTTGTCTTCTCTTTGTATTCAGCGAATGTGTCTTTGGAGGTTCGCCTTGCCCCCTTATTTATAGCTTTAAAGAGAAAATTCCCTAATCCCATTAGGAGTTTCCTAATCCAAATCTTTTATTTGGATCTAGACTATTTAAGTGATAAGGATAATCCCTTATCTTTTCTATAGATAAAGATCAGCCTTCCTAATCAAAGTAGGAGTTCCTTTGATCCAAATCTTTATTTGGATCTAGACTCTTTAAGTGGATAAGGATAATCAATTATCTTATCTACTGATCTAAATCCCAAATTTGCCCCTATTTAGGCCCATTATCAGGCTCACTATCTTATCTTATCTACTGATCTAAGATACTGATCTAAAGCCCATTATTAGGCTCACTATTTAGGCCCATTATTAGGCTCATTATCAGGCCCCTATTTAGGCCCATTATAAGGATAATCAATTATCTTATCTTATCTACTGATCTAAAGCCCAAATCTTTGTTCGAAATGGGCTTTTAGGCCCATTATCAGGCTCACTTTCACTTTAATGCTGGCTAGCTTGGCTCTCTTTGTATGGCATGGGACCCTATCATTGATCTATACATCAGCCACATGGGTTCAGCCTAGCTCTATTACAAGGCCTGGCCGAATTCACTACTGAATACAATGAACCCCCGAATCCATCACTAGGGGTTCTTAATGGGCCCAACATTTACACTAAATGGTCATTAGGTTCAGCTATCTTATGAACGCCCAAGGACTGTAGGCAGATGCTAGATTAGCCCATCAGGTATAATCCTCAATGGTCTTACACTTAACCTCTCAGCCCATAATGATCAAACACTGCCCGACAAGAGAGGACCTCTCCCTCGGCTGCAAGGTGCAGTGCTACAGTCTCTACTCACATGGATTCTAAAAATTAAAACATTTTGCAAACATTTTGAAACCATAATATATATGTTTATATATCTATATAAATATATTTTCCAAAACAAATTTCAACGGTTGAAATCAACTGCCGACAGTTTAGGTTTCCATCAGAGAGAGTGCATGCCCGATCATTCACTTTGTCCGACAAAAGGGCTGATTCTATCACTATGATCACTCATTTAGATGAATTCTCAGATTGTCCCAACATACCCAGGTTTTGACCCCCTCTAAGGATCTCACTGATTGGCAAATCAAAGACAGCCAAATCCAACACCTAGTGCAGTATCATAATGTAGGGGTCAGGTGTAATATTTCAGTTTTGCCCATCTATCTCCAAGGTCTAGGTCAATACTGGAATTTTGGTTCAGTTCAGGGTTTCAAGAAAACCCACACTACATGTACCTCAAGTCTCACCCTAGCAGCTGAGATAAACCACCCCAACCAATTTGGCAGTACACCAGTGTCAGCATTGGCAAGATAAATCTCCCCAAATCTATCCAACGGTTGTGAAGATTCTAAACTAACACGAGTCTCATATGTGTCAAGTTTAAGGGTATTACATAGAAACACACCATAATAACATGAATCAAATATGTACTTTATTCATTTACAATAAATGTCATAATGTACATCATGTTGATTGGAGCTAAGGGCATACACTGTCTAAATGTATTTATCTGAAAAATAAATGTGTTTCTGAAAAACAAACAGGGCTAAAGTAGTAACGAGGTTTTAAGAAATTTCTAAGACAGAAATGTATACTTATTCAAAAATTAATCAAACGGTTTATGCATTTGTTTTCCCTTAAAACTTTGTGGGTTTTTCAGGCAATTTCTAAGACATCTCATCGCCATCTTTAGTATAAACATTATCAATTAATTAACTAGTTTTTCAAATAGGAATAGTTATGTAATAACAATACAAGTAAATAACAATGAGGACAACAAAAGCTTATGATGTTTGAGTTGAGAAGTTGAAGAAAACCACTAGTTAACAAGAAATTTCAGAACTCAAAAGAATGACTAGGACCTTAGGTTTTCAAATCACTTCTACGGATTCTCAGTCTCACAAGCCATGTAGTTCACTAATATCTAAAATAGTTTATACTTTATATTGAAAAATAGAGTAGAATATAAGTAAATTGAATAAAAATAGAGTGGAATATATAGATAGATAGACAGATACTTTGAAGCTTATGTCTCAGTCCTATATATATATATATATATATATATATATATATATATTAATTAATAGAAAACAAGTGCTTTCTTCATGCAGAGAATGGAATCTAATTGTGCGAATAGATTCCCACGTGAGAGCAACCCATTTTCTATTAATATAATTAGATATATAATAGTTATTATAAATATTGTTAATAACTAAATATTGAACCGTTCGAACAGTTTTGACTATTTTTTATTTTTTATTTTTTATATTTTTTAATTTTTTGTCAGAACGGGTTGACCATTCAACCCGATAACCAGACCCTTGACTAGTTTGGTCTCTAGGTTGGTTAATGGTTTTGACCTTTTATATTTTTTTGTTAGAACGGGCCAACCGTTCGAAGGACCCGATAACTGGGCCCCTGACCAATTCGATCTCTAGGTCGGTTTTAAAAACCATGATGTTATGTCATTCAAGTGTGTGACTCATATGACCCGAAAATGGAACCATTCTAGCCACTAATTTTTGGGTCAATGGTTCGACCGTCCGATTCAAATGGACAGCCTGTTCTGACAACTAAAAAAAAAAAAAAAAACTGCCAAAAACCATTGAACGGGTCAACGGGTTGACGGTTCAACCACTCGAGTCAATGGGCCGTTGACCGATTCAATAGTTTTTGGCCAGGGACCAGGATTGGGGTAAAACGAAATTGGTTGCCTAAATGGTTCCCAATTAAAAAATAAAAAAACCGGACAACCTGTTTTAACAATAAAAATTACAGGCAAAAAATTGAGTGTGTGAGGTCCATTAAGTAATATCATACGTGTTATATCATTTGAGTGTGTGACTCATATGACCTAAAAACGGAATCGTTTTGGCCACCGATTTTTGGGTCGACGATTTAGGCCTAACCTATACTAGGGTTGGAGTTGGGTTGACGCCTCAAGTAGCTAAAAGCCCAACCTGACCCAAGCCAATCTCTAAACTTCATCTTAGAGAATGGAATAAATGTGGTTCAGAATGTGGGAGATTCGCTACTGATTAGTGATTATTAAAGCTTTGTGGAGGCTGATAATTTCTCCTCCGTGGTGGTTACAAAACTTGATTGCCGATTGCAAAGCTTACTTAGATAAAACCCCTCTTTGCTCAATACATTTTGCTCCCATAATTCTGCAGCTCATTGTATAGCAAAGTATGTTTTATCTATCTCAAACTCAGACCTGACTCTTTGTCCTTCATTTCTTCACTCATGTATTGACTATTGCATTTGTGCATGTTTTCAATCTATTCTACTAAATTGGACTATAAAGCCCAATAAAAGGTGGATGAAAATACATTTGAGAAACCTTTCAAACCCAAAAAGCCCACCCAAGCCTGAACCCAACCCAAGTTGCACCGACTTTACTTAATCTCAGGTTGGGCTTGGGTTGATAAACTTAGGCTTAACCTTGGGTTGAGACAGGCCCAAGCTCGAGGTCCAAGTTGTATCCTTCCAGCAATAGCCAAATTCAACCCAATTAATAAGGGGGTGTTTGACAATATGGTTCGTTTTGTTTTCGAAAACAAAAACAAGTTTCATGTCAGCTAAAACAATATAATTTTGCTGACGTGGCACCTATTTTTATTTTAAAAAACAAAATCAACCATGTTGTCGACCACCCCTTAAATGGTTCAGATTTCAAATGTGGTTCAATCTAATAATATGATTAAACGGATCTCTGAATTTGACTTAAAGTAGACTCGAATTCAAATTAGATTAAATCTGATCCATTTACGGCTCTGTTCTTCATTACTACCCTCTTCATAAGTAGTCCCTTAAGCATAAACACTTTCACATTGTGCTACTAATTATGCAAAATTTCCCCTTTTCGTTTTCTCTGTTTTGACATGAGAACATGACAACCTCTTGCTGATCTGTGGCAGATCTCAGAATTTGCTTTTATACCTACAACCTAACATGTTCCCAGAAACCCTACAGCCTCCATAACCAAATTCCCAATCCTACAATCAACCCCATAAGGCCGTAACTTATTCTAAGCTTGGAAAGAGTTTCCTACCCGTTCGTTACCAATTTGGTATCAGAGCTAAATCCTGCATCACCTTCTACTAATTATTCTAATTAATTTTTTTACCCCATGCAATTGATCCTAAAACTCCATTATCAACTACACAGAGATGCTCTTATTCTAATTCTCATTTTATTCTTAGCATGTAGAACCCAAAAAGAAAAATACAAAAAACAACTATTGTCAAAACAAATGACTTATGTAACAATATTGCATGCAATCTGTCTCCTTTTTAATTGACAATCTGAATTATCCATTACAAAATAGATGGCTAAAATTTTAACCTTTTATATAGGAAGGTATCGCCTAGTCTCCTTGGGTGGATGGCTCTATCTGGAAAATATATCCTGCTTCAGCAAAGTGAGCTTTTACCAAGGCTAGAGCCTTGGATCGATGAGAGATCTTGTTCTTCTCTGCCTTTGGCATTTCTGCGTAACTGCAAGAGACAACAACCTCATGTAACAGTGCTGGAATGATATCATCAAAATATAATTCACACAAAAGGGGAGGTAAGCCATCAAAGCAGCAGGATAGGTTTACGTTTGTTCATAGCCATCAGGTTGAAAGATGGGATCCCATCCAAAATCGTTTGGCCCCCTTGCAGGCACTATTTTCCCCTATATTGTCCACAGCAAGCCACATATAAGTACCACTTTATTAAATTTACGGCACTTTTTTCTTTAAAACATATATAAAAATGGACTCTTTTTCATTATAGTTCTATCCGTATATGATCTAAATCTAAAACAAAACGCTGCATAATTTATGATAAAGTAAAAGACAAAAAGAAGGATAAAGCCACTGTTTTATTTAATATAAGAGAGTGTATACCAAAAACAAGAAAAAAGAACTCCTTATACTTCTAATCTTTCTTTTTCTCTTCTCAAAACCCTTGGATCTTTTAAATTTCAATGGTAAAACTTTAAAACAAAGTAAAAATAATATAATATAGTATAATATAGAATGTAATAACACATATTGATAAGATATGGAAATATTAATGATATTTTAATAATGTGCCTGCCTAGTTATTTTTGCCACCCGGGCATGCACATAGTCACCTAGACTGGTGCCTTGTGGTTGTAAGTCAAGGTGTCCAGGCGAGGGACCTAGTCACCTAGGCGATGCCTAGGCAGGCGCAATCTCATATATCTATAAACACTAGTGCCCTCAACAAAAAAACAATTAACTGAATTAAGGTCTAGTGCAAATTGTGCATATAAAAGGATCAGTTGCTCTTTGAGATTATCTATAGCAACAAGAAAATGACACTTGAAAAGAGAAAGTTTACATAAATGAAAACTGACGAGTGTTTCCCATAGATATGAAGTTTCCAAAATAAGCTAACATGAAAGTTGAAACTTGTCAATCTCATTTCACAAGTCTTGAAAGTTTTAGAAGCTTAATATTGCTCATTGTATCAAATATCACCGATTATTTGCATATTCTGATTTATGACAGTTCGAATCAGATGTCCGCTGTTATTGCCAGAAATAAAGCTAAAACCATACCATAGTTTTTCCAACAAAAGTCACTGGTTCCACATTTGGCCCAAGTGCAAGGGAGAAAACACATAAAGCATAAGCAGATTTATCCTCATAACCCAGCAATAACTTGTTCAAACCTGCAGAATGGCAGAAGCATCAATTGAAGAAAAATTGGTTACATTATTTGGAAAACAAAAGAATTATAAGAAAGAAAATATAAGAAACAGTACGTGCAAACTAAAACCTTCATGACCAATCTTCTGCAGAAACCACTTGCTGGTCAATTCCGTATTTCCAATTGAATTAGGGCCATTACAGACAGCAAAACACAAGGACCATTAGAACCAGAATTTTAACAAGTATGAAGCACTTATGAATAATTAGAATTAAATAAAAAAAAAAAGAATTTCAGTGAATCTAGTATAGTAGATGGTATAAAACTTTACTAGTTCCTTTCAGAACTTCAGGCAAGATTTCTCTGTTCTATACCATAAAATGGATCCATTAAAGGGGTATTAATGTGACTGTACCTCAATATAAAACATTAGTTTGAGGGTTAACTGCCTTACTCTGGTCAATTCACTCAACTTTTCTTATCTTCCTTATCTTCTTTCTCTTTCCTTCTAACACAACAGAAGCTTACATCTTGAATTAAATAAACTAGTTGGCATTAGAGCAAGAAGGGAAGGTTCTACATCTCATACCTGCTCATCTCTTGAACATGAGCCCTGATGATTTTATCAGCAGGCATATGGTAAGCCAACAGAACATAAAAGATAGAAACCTAGAATTGGATTAAGCTCCATTTGTGGGTTATTTTGATGTAGAAATCTAAAAAAATTGAATCAGTTTGATGTTTCTACATGATTTTCTAGTGAAAATTTAGGAAAAATCATATTAGAGTATTCTGATTGAGGTGTTGACCATATGCAATTGCTGCAATTGGGGTTGGAAGATCTTGATTCAGATAACTTTTTGGAATCCAATGAAACTAATCTCACTCAATTTGAATAAGTTTTGAAGGGTATAGTGAGTAAGTGTCAACAAACTTCTCTCTTTTGCCACCAACTTAAATCAAATTTTTTTTTGGGTTTTTCCTTTATGGAAAAACTGCTATTTTGGGTCTTGTGGTGATCCCAATGGCTTGAATGGAGTTATGGTGGTCTATTTTGATCCTCTGAATTGAGTTCTGATCCATAGGAAGTGGTAGTCTTGGTGTTTCCAATCTCTTCTACACTTTCTGCAAGCCTACCAAGGGGAAGGAAGTTTGGAACTTTTTTTTGGATCAATAAGCTAGGTACAGATTTCAGCATTAGTGATTGTTGACATCCCTAATATTGAGATTACCATTATGTTTGATGAGTGTTCCAAAAAATTATTTTTTATTGATACTGAAGTATATTTATACAGAGGTATCATATATATATATATATATATAAAATGGTGTATGGTCACCACCCTATATGTTTGGCAAATGGAATCTTCAAAGCTCTCTTTGCTCACTAAACGAAATCTGTGCATGAACTATGTTATTTATCACCTTTAAGTTTTTTACTAATTACAAGAGTGCCATTGAAAATCAATCATTGCCTCCTTTTTAGTTATGCATATAACATCGAGTTTCATGTAATTCTCCCCAAAGAATTCAACCACTTCCACTATAACACTATTTTTAATTTTTCATTTATCTCTATTTTCCAGTTTTCATTTATCTTCAACTACTTTCTCCATGAACTTTTAATATTATTTACAAGATAATAAATGTTTTTAATAATTTTTTTCAATTAATCAATATAATTAATTAATTAAGTCTTCTACTTACGTTTCATCTAGGCAAGCCCCAAGTTGGGATTAAAATATTGGAAACAAACTCAACTTGTAAACTTGTGGGTCTAATGCACACTCAAGCCTAGGGCCAGGCCTAAACAAAAAACCTAGGACCAAGCCTTGAATTTTTGAGTTAGGCCAGGCTTGGGTTGGTTGGGCCCAAGCTTGACTTGGAAATTTGAGAGCCTAATGTGACCTCAGGCTGGGCTAAAGTATTGAGCCAAAGCTTGAACCAAGAATTTGCGAGCCTAATGTAGGGCCAGGCCCAAACCAAGTCTAAACACAAAACTTAGGACCAAGCCTAGAATTTTTGGGCCAAGTCGAGCCTTTTCATCTACCTCTCTTTAACGTCTCTTAATTGAATTCCATAGAACAAAAACAAGCTAATATTTTAAACCATTCTCTCTTCTCTCGCTCTCTTTCTTTCTCCAAGAATTCAACCACTCCCTCTATTGGGTCGGGCCTAAAGTATTGGCCCAAGCTCAACTTGTAAATTTGCAGTCTTGGGCTGGGCCTAAACACAATACCTATCCCAACCTTGGAATTTTTTGGTCAACTAGGTCTCAAGTTGGACCTAAAGTATTGGGCCAAAGCTTGGATTAAAACTTTGCAAGCCTAATATTGTCCTAGGCTCGGGCCTTTGTTTTAAAAAATATTTTTTTTTGAATTTTCTCTTTTTTGGCTTACATTTGAGTAAAATAAAATAAAATAAAAATCAATGATTTCAATTGATGGTCAGATTTTTTTTGTGATCAGGAAGAATAAAATGGAGTAAATGTGTGGCCAATTGGCGTTTCAAAGATTCATTCATAAAAAAAAAAATTGGCGTTTCAAAGATTGAGAGAGAGAGAAGTGATGTGATTTCAATTGTAATATTTACAAGGCAAAATCCATGTTCCATCAATTTTCATAGAATGTATTATAGATCTTGCCTAACTATAACTTTGAAAAAAAATTTAGATATTTCAATTAGATAAGTGAAGAAAATTAATTTAGTGTAATTTAATTAGTTAATTTAGTTAACTTAAATTAATTGATTAAATATGGTAAATTAAAATTATTAATTTAACTAAACTAATCAAATACTTAAATTACAGTAATTACTCAAATTTTAAAACAATAACTTTACAATTACAATTAATAACTTTAAAGTAATTAATAAAGTCTTAAAAATACATTTAAGTGAAATTAAATCATACACTAAGACATTTTACCAAGTGTATACCGTTGGAGGGGAGTGGGGGGAGGGGGGGAAGTTGGGATTTAATGGGATTTAGTAACTTTTCAAGGAAAATGTTCCCTAGCTCAAAATAGGCTATAATTTTCTTTTGACTTTTCCTTTCTTTGTCATCCCTGGTATATATGCCATGCCTCCAAGCATGCTTTAACTGAGGCAGGCATGTACCAACTTAACTTCAGGATCTTTATAAAGTATTTCCAAATCTCTGAGACAAACTTGCAGTGTAAAAACAGGTGATTAATTGATTCTGTCTCCACACTACAAAGGTTGCATCTCAGGTCATTGCAAATAAAGCATCTCTTTAGCAACAATTCTTTGGAGAGGCATTTCTCTAAAGCTGCTACCCATACAAAAAACTTAACTTTGAGGGTGCCACTATCCCCCAAATGTCCCGACTAGAAAAGGGGACTTAATTTTCTCCCACTATAAAGCTGTAAAAGGATTTTACTGAGAACTCTAATCCCAATTATGATTCAAAGGTGAAGTAGAAAGGTCTAAAAAGCTCGAAATCACCTTATTTTTGTACAAGGAAATGGAGTACAGGGAAGGAAACAAGTCCTTTAGAGGTCAGCCATCAAGCCAAATGTCTTCCCAAAAGCGGATTAGGTTCCCTGAACAAGCATCATACCTGATAAAACTGAGGAACTGAGAAAGCATGTTGTGGATTTCTTTCCAAGGTGTTGCCAAAGTAGTCCAATGAGATACACCAACACCCCAGCCACTCTCCAATCTCCAATGAATACTATCCACTACTTCAGCCCACAAATTTTCCCACTCAAGTGACCACCAAAATAACCATTATCCTAAAAGAGTTGTGTTTTTCTTTCTCAAATTCCCAAGACCTAATCCACCCTCTTCCTTACTTGCACACAATACCCCAATTGATTAAGTGGTCTTTTCTTGTCTCTCCTGGCTCCCAAAGGAAATCCCTCATAATTTTTTCTAACTCCTCTTCAAAGCAGCCAGTCTCTTACCACATCTTTCTACAACCGGGTTCTAGAATCTGCTTTCCTTAGGGTTGGCTCCTAGGGAAGTCTTAAGTAGGTCAGAGGCCAAGGGGTAATTTGACACTCTAGGCACTCCGCGACCAAACTTAGGGCACTCTCCTCCATATTAATCCATGCTACATAACTTTTGTCCAAATTGATTTTCAGATTGGACACCTTTTCGAACCTTTAGATCAGTTCTTTCAGTTTCCTCACACTCCTAAGGTCTCTGCTTCACAAAAAATTATGATATCATCTGCAAATTAGAGGTGAGTAACTGGGACCCTGTTTCTACCCACTCTCCACCCCTTAACTTCATCTTCCCTATCTGCCTTAGAGAGGAGTCTATTAAAAACATTCGCCACTAAAAGGAGAGAGGGGGTCTCCTTGCCTTAAACCTCTATAGGTTGGAAAGAAATCTTTCACCACTCAATTAACCAATTGCACCACCTCTCTCCAAACCCCCATTGTTGCATTACTTCTAGTAAGAAGTTCAAATTCACCAAGTCATAAGCCTTTTCTAAATCCAATTTGCATACAAATCCTTCCTTCCTAGATCTCTTCATTTCTTCTACATAGTCATTGGCAATTAGGATTTGATCAAAGATTTGTCTCCCTTGAACAAAGGCTCTTTGGAACTGACTTATGAGACTTGAAAACAGATATAGCAGTCCTAGGTTTAGTTTGAAACCTATTCAAGAAGAAGAAGAAGAAGAAGAAAGAAGAGAATGAGAAGAAGAGAGAGCAGAATGAGTCAGGTTCTGCCACCCCCCCATTGACTTTTATATTACTTGATAAAAAAGGAGTACAAAGACAATAATACTCTTGTCAACTATGACAGAGAGAAAACACAAGTACAGCAGTTTGAAATAAAACAAATAAATGTGGGGAGCAACTTCCTGCAACTATCAACATATAAAAAACGACAAGGTGTCCCTGTCTTCATCTCTACACTCCCCCTCAAGTTGGGAATAGATATTGTCATATTGAGCATTCACAACTTGCGTAAATCTGTTTCCATTTTGACTTTAGTGATTGCCTTGGTGAAAAGATCAGCAAGCTGCATATTAGAGGCAATATAAAGGCAAGCACACTTCTTGGGAAGCTACTCTCTCCCTAATGAAATATCGATCCACCTCAATGTGTTTCGTCCTGTTATGTTGTATATGGGTTATGGGCAATATTAATAGCAGCCTGATTGTCACAATACAGCATTAAGGGCT